AGTGGACTCAACTTGCACTATTTCTGGCAGTCTGCAACCCCCCTAAGTTTTGAATCCATGCTCGGCCATGGAAACCTACTGGGTGACCTTGGCCAAGTCACACACTCTCAGCCACACTCATCTGAGGAAGGAGGCTCAAGTCTACAAAAGCTCATGCTACCAACTTCTGTCAAAGGTGATCTCTTTGCGCACCGGTTTCCATTCTCTTCTCTCAGCCTCAGAGGATGGCCATGGCAAACCCAGCTCTCTGAAGAAACCTGCCAAGGAAACCGCCTGATAGGATGGCCATAAGTCGGGAAAGACGTGAAGGCGCACAGAGAGAGAGGATGGGCAACATGGGGTTGTTGTGGTTGTTGTGGTTGTTGTTTGGGGGGGGGGGCGGGAGGAGGGAAGGATGAGACAGAAAGAGAGTCTCAAGGTGTGAGTTGGGGGTGTGGGTGGACTGTACTGTGGGGCTCACCCAGGACACACACACAGACACACACACACACACACAGACACACACAGACACCCAGACAGACCCCCGGAGGCTTACTCACATGTCGGTGACTTTCTCCCTTTCGCTCCGCTTGCCCAGGACAGGGAAGGAGCGCAGGCTGGGCGTCGTGTCGTTGCACCAGATCCGCTCGGGGCTGCAAGCGCATGGAGGGGGGCAGGCTGAGGCCAGAAGACCCCGCCAGGCCCCCAGCCACACCAGCCAGAAAAAGCCCCAGAAGCGAGAAGGAGGAGAAGGAGGAGAATGCGGCCAAGGGGAAGAAGACCAAGACAGCGCCTGCCAGGGACCGCGGAGCAGCAGCAGCAGAGGACCCTGTTCCTCCTCCTCCTCCTCATCTTCCTCCTCATCTTCCTCCTCCTCCTCCTCTTCCTCCTGCCGCCTTCGCCTCCGCCACCACGGCCTTGGCCAGGGCCCCATGGCGGTGGCGGTGGCCGCGCTCCTCTGGCTCTCCTCCTTTCTGGCTCACCTTCCTCCTTCCTTCCTTCCTTCCTTCCTTCCTTCCTTCCTTCCTTC